CGGTATCCATGGGTTTTAATTTTATAACATTAAATCGGAAAAAATGAATTTTCTCGTCAAAACCGCAAAAACGTGTTTTCCCGCCAAAATCGCAAAAATGAGTTTTCCCGCTAAAACTGCAAAAACGTGATTTCCCACCAAAACGTATTTTTCACCAAAACCGCAAAAACATGTTTTCCCGCTAAAACCGTAAAAACGTGATTTCCCACCAAAACCGAAAAAACGTATTTTTTCGCCAAAACCGCAAAAACAACGTGTATTCCCGCCAAAACCGCAAAAATGAGTTTTCCCACCAAAACCGCAAAAACGTGTTTTCGCCAAAATCGCAAAAACATGTTTTCCCGCCAAAACCGCAAAAATATGTTTCCCGCCAAAACCCAAAAACGTGTTTTTCCGCCAATGCGAGTTTTCCGCAAAAAGGTATTTTTCGTAAATTGAGATTTCCGCAAAAAAAAATTCCCAAAAAATCAAGTTTTTCCGACAAAATCAGAAATGGGTTTTCTCGCCAAAACCGGAATAATGAACTTTCCGGTCATATTGGAAAAACTAGTTTCTAGAATAAAAATTCTGCATAATCTCTTTAGAACAAATAAAATAGTAGCTTGGGTACCCATGGGTTAACCTATATCCTACTGGGTTATTTTTTGGGTTTTAATTTAACCTTGATGTTTATGAGTTTTCGCGGGTTTGGTATAAATTGGGTCGGGTTTTTTGTGGGTTGGGCTGAACTAGGTTATTTTACCCATTTTAACATCCCTACCCAGCTATCATTTAGTTAATTTTAAATTTAAACCCATACACAAGACGAGAAGCTACGGAGGCTGAACAATGTGGTGATAAAAAAATTTGTTCTCTATGGTTCTCTATTATTTACGTGTGGTGATAAACTTCTTTTAGCCGTTTGATACACGAGAAGCTAACACCGAAGAAAGGAAATAGCCGTTCAAAAAAGGAAGAAAGGCATATCCAAAACAGAATAAGAACTCAGGGAGATTTATGAGACCATAGGTAATTTATTAAAACTTTATACTATTTTTTTTAATATGGGGGTTTACCAAAAAAAAAAAGTTAAAGGAGTAAGACAATAATTCATTCGGTTTTATTCAGAACCTCCTAAGAGCAAAAGAGAAAGACATTAAAGATATTTAGAGCAATCTCTAAGGGGTTCTTATTCTTGGGTTCTTAAAACATATATATATGTATGTATATATTATATATGCAAATATAATATATGCATACACATATATATGTTTTAAGAATCTAAGAGTAAGAACCCCGATAAAGTTGCTCTTAGCTTAATGTGATAATAATAAACACAAGTATAATACATTAAATTCATTTAGCGTCACCAAATTCATATATATTATTAAAATTGAAGTATATATAGAAGTTACTTGAAAATATGAATAACAATTAATAAAAGAGTATATTGTTGTTTAACAGCATGGATTACAGTTATTAACAAAAATAGTGGGTTTAGTTATTAAGAAAAATTGAAAGTCCTATGACAAACTATCTATTTAGACCAGCTTTACAATAAATTAAAATGGACCAATCTAGTTACTTTACAATAATCATAATACAAAATTTAAACTTTATATACATATTTCAAATCAAAAGAATAATTTTAAATTAATTTATATCAAAAGTTGATTTTAACTAAAATATTTTTCAATAGCGATTATAAAAAAAAGTTTTAAGTATATATAAGCAAAATACAATTCAAAGCCCAATTTCAAACACCAATTAAAACTGTGGTTTTTATATTTCGCATTAAGTTTTTTAAATATAATATATGTGATTATTTATATTAAACTTGTGAATTTGACCCTTTACTCCTGTCCCCACCATGTTTGACTCACTGCAGGGCAGGTGCGGATCAACAGATTTGGAAATATGTGGGATAGATGCGGGTGCGGGTTTAATATATTTTATGTGGAGCGGGTGCAGATCGGTCGACTTTAAATTGCTAGTACCCGTCAGCCCGCAAAATCTTTTTTTTTTTTAATATTTATTTTATTGTTAAAATAATTAAAAAATACGAATAAAATAAAATACATTATCTTAGTTTTAAAAAATAAATTAACATTTTTTAGTGTTACTCATGGGAGAAGGAGGCTGCACTTCAAGCAATCTCTTCAAACAAAAGTTAAGATGGAAATATACAGATAGCAACCAAAAGAATACACACTAATAGATTATCTACTATAGCCATACGCTACACCTATACTAGTTAATCATATACACACTAATATAGTCAGCTAGGCCAATTAGTTTTGCTATGCGCCAAGAAGAACCTCATACTAATGTAGTCACCTTCCTCGGTCGGCTTGAGCCTGAAAAGGTGAAGTTCATGCTCTTTTCCACGATTACACAGTTTAGCTTGATAGATTTTGGACTCATGGGAGGAAGAATTCATATCCATAGCACAGAATGACAACCAACACAAAATACCACTAGCAAATTGGAAATTCGCCTGAATGTGCTCCACCAACACAAGTTTCGTTCCCTGAATGAATTAAAGCTTAGGGTTAATTTAGTTTTAATTTGGAAGCGCAAAAAAATTAAGGTGATCATACAGATCATTAATCCAGTCTTAAAAGTGGTCCAAAACCATAAAAAGTTCAGTTTTGCCGAAATAGCCAAAAAAACATTATCAGATAGAAAGTATGATAAATTATGTTGAGATTAATTAATGGTTACATGTCTCATTAGCTTGAAGACATGACATGAATAATATAAAGGATTTGATACAATCCTTCTCACTCCTTAAATGTGAAAGAGAAACTTTGATGGTACCATAAGACGGTTAATTAATAAGAAACAAGTCAAGAGAACTTAGTTGGTCTTGGTCTCTTCTGACGAGCAGAGCAGGGCTTGAAGCTATTATAAACCAGTCTTTAGGACAACATTGGATTCCATTCAATAGCATAGTAGCTAAAGTGAAGTCGCAACAATAGCTTCAATGTGCGTTCAACCGGAAGTATCGTACCGTCCTTTCATGGGACAAGTAGTGTGCAAGCTTTGACGCTCGTATGTAACATTGAAGAGTTTGATTGCCTTAAGTTAAGAAAATAAAGGTGTCTTGTGCAACAAGCAACACGTAGTGCTTCTGGAGACCGGTTAAGCAACAATAGGAAGCAGTGGCGGAGCCAGGATCTTTTCTTACCGGGGACAAATAAAATGTATACAAAATTTTTTAATAGTTATATATATATATTATAAAATATTTTGTAACGTAAAATATTTTCTGTATTAGATATTATAAATTAAATTTTTAATAGCTATATATAAATAAAAATAAATTTAAAAGTCTATTATTCTCAAAACAAAAAAAAAATCATTATAAAATCAGTCAATTCAAAATTCTTATTAATAAAATTCATGAAATAAATCAATTATTAAATGATTTTTTTCATAATTTAATAAAATCCAAAACAGCATCTATAATGTTAAAGTAAATTAATTTTTTTTAAAGAAATCCAACTTGAATAAATAAAGTGTTTTACCTTTTTTTCAGAAAACAGTTACAAAAATAATATAAAAGATTAACAATGATTTTCTTCAAGGTTAGATATTTGTTTATGTTTTTGGTGAGAACTAGTTTAATAATCAATCATCTACAAGTCTACGACCCACAAAATTATATACTATTTATCATTGTATTTAAATGGCGTAAACTATTAGTGAGCCCAAAATCAAATTAAAACATAATCCAACTGTCCGATTAACTAAATAATTATGCCTTAACGATTGTTCACTTTTAGTTTTACGGGGTCATTCGAAAATATTTACTGGGGTCATTAATTTTTTGGTGAATGCTAAATATTAATATTTTTAAAATAGGTGGGGTCACCTGACCCCCTCATTGCTGTGTAGCTCCGCCCCTGATAGGAAGTGATCAGTCCCGCTTCAATTTTTGGCTGTAAAGATATTTGTACCCTAGAATAAACTATTTGAACAAAAAAGAAAGAAGAAACAAGACATTATGTTAGGTCTAATTTGAATGTAAATATCACGGTTCAGGCAACAAAAGGCATCACACACACACCTTCCTTTACATTTCCGGTACAGACCGGTTCGACACTATATTCGATTTTGGCAATCAAGATTGGGTTGTAACGGAAGGTAGGCCTGAGGCTCATGAATGCCAATATTCTGATTTGTAAATTTAGCACGGGCCAACTGAAATCATATGTTATAAAAGCGTGGCATATCTCATTTTATTTTATGTGAATACCGAAAAGGGAACAATAATTGGTAAGAGAGAACGAGAGAGTAAAAAGTCCCTACACACTGCCCAAACAGATGGCACGTCCCTGTATGTTTCAACATCAATTCATTCAAATGCCTGTTAACGTCTGTTCACATCGCTAGTTTTCACGACTTTTTTTTTTCTCATCTGTATGGTGAGTGACATTAAAGAAAAACCCACCCACTTTGGACTTATCAAAGAAAAGTCCAGTTTTTTTAAAAATCACTCACCGACCACCTTCCTAAATTTGGTATCTCCTCATTAACTTTTCCACACCTTTTCTGGAATTTATTTTCTCTTCAAAACTATAGAAATATCAAATATGAATTATTATTTTTTAAAGTCCAAATATGAATTATGAAATGGTTATTTAGCAGCAAACAAAAAAAAACTATTGACAATTAATTATTTCTTCACAACTTCTATCCAAACGACAATCAACACGTGTGTTTGTTATGGTTATCTTAACTAACAAAAAAACTACTATTATCAAAACGACAAACGTGAAACATATTCCACCAAAAAAGCGTTTATACTCAACACAGACATCTGTTAATTGATTTGATTACAGACATAATTTCATACTCATTATTACAAACCTAATTCGCTGTATACACAGATATTATCATAAAATAATACATTTATATTTGTACAATAAGAAGTTCACAACAAAAGTTACAAAAGCGTACAGTCTTGTCTTCTCTCCTCTCTCCCTCGTCAGAGTTGAACAGAGAGAGAGAGAATAATGAACGAGACGCAGAAGACAGTAGACAACACGACGGAGAAGGAAATGCCGACGCCGGTGATAATCTCCGGAGGAGACGAGTACACTCCTGACGATATCATGCAGCTCGTCGAGTCTACTTCACCAACGACGACGAACACCGAGGGAACTAACTTTTCCGGCGACGCGAGTAACAGAGTGAGGTTTATCGACGATCCGTACGCGGTTCCGGTGGCTGTTCAGTCGTCTTCCGGTTACATCACGATCAACGTCAACGAGGAGAGCTGTGGTCCGTCGTTTTCGGACAGCGAAGCTTCGGTTATGGCAAGCGTCGACGCTAGTGGACTGTTCGGTTGCTGCTGCCTCGGTTTTGACGGAGAGAAAGGCGGCGCGTGGGGTGGGAACAGTGTAGGAGCGAGTGAGTGTGAGTGGGACGATGATTTGCTGGCGAGGTTTCTAGGGGAAGACAGTGTTTGACCAATGTGTGTCGTCTTGCGGAGAAAGCTTTTCGAGTGTTGGGGGTATTTTGGTCTATTCGGTGGATGGTAATTAAAGTGAAAATGATCTTCGCGTTGTTAATAGGAGCAGAAAAAAGTAAATGGTAGTAAGGAGTAGAGTAGCTGCGTAATTTAATGTGAACATTATGCGAAATTATGTCACATGGCGGTATTAAAGAGTAAATGTTTTTAGCTTCAGGGAGCTATTATGTAAATTGCGAAAGTATTAAATCAGTCCCCCATTATAGTAACTGAACGCTTTATTTACGAATGAACCCCTATATTCGGTTGTTATCACTATAATAGTCTAAAGTAGTGACTGATAAGATATGGATCTATTTAATTGGGCCTACATGAAGGCCCAGTAACTTTATTTAATCCGGGTTTACACTGGCGGGAAAGTCTAACAAATATACAAACCTCATTGGCATTATTGTTTTATTTATTTGGGTAATTGATGATGATCAGTAATATACATGTTGTATAATATGATAGTAGTAGTAACTGCACAATTCAATTATTGTTGTTGTCCAGCTCTGTCTCTATCTTCAAAGCAGAGCCAGAGAGACAGACAAACAATGAAACAAGCTTTCTTCTGTCATGAAAACTCAGAATAAACCAGAAGAAGAAGATCTCATATTCTTTTTACCAATGAGATTCCATTAGGATCACCACCCCACTCTTCAAACACAACTATAACGTTCTGAGACTTGAGCCATGAGCGAGGCACATGGTACCTGCAAAAAAAAAAAGACAGAGAGGTAACTCTTTATGAGTAAATATTTTGAATAAATAGAATGAAAGACAAAGAAAAGGATTTGTTCACTCACCATCTTTGAGAAGCTTCACCACAATTACTCAAGCATTTCTTTGCGTCGAATGTTCCAGCGTAGTTGCAACGTCCACAGTTTCCTTGAGCTTTATAAGCAGGCCAGTGACGTCCAATATTTCTACCGTTAATCCAAACTTGACCTTTCCCCATTGTGTTCATGTCTATGGCTAATGGTTCGTTTCCTGCTGGTGCCCCAAAAGTAGACTTATACCAGGTCAACGGTTTCTTTTTGACCACGTATGATCCTTGATTCCATCTCACAGAGGAACTGTCTGTATGAAGACTCATAGCTTCACCCTTCACACCAATCTGTTTCAAACACACATTTAATTATGATTAATTTGTTGTTTATTACTAAGAAACGTTGGTTTTTTGAATTTCAGGGAGGAGACCTTATAGGACCATTTCCATTTCGACATGTCCCATGTTCCTGAGTTAACTCCCTTCAGTGTGACCGGTCCAAGGACCCCTTTATTCCACGTCTCAAAGTGTTGACCAACATTCTGAAACCAAACCAAGAACCACAAAGCTCAGAAACCTAATTCTATCTTTTAAGAGTGCTAGAGTGAACTAACCGGAAGACCAACTGCAACACTCAACAGAGCAAGCTTGTTGACACCTGCGTGTAGTTTAATCTTCTGACTAAAGGTTATTTTTGTGTGAGAAAGTCCTCCATAAGCACTTCCTGAAACAGACAAGTACCACCACAGTGTTGTTAAGTTACAATACTAAACAAGAAAAGATGAGACAAGAGAAGCTTCTATTTTTTTTTTTTATATTACCTGCAAGCTGGCCATTGACAAACACATGAAGAGCATGTCCAGCTGACCAAATGGTAAGAAGAGGAAAATCACCAGTCTTCAAAAACCTCTCACCAGCACCAATTGTAATGCTGATAGCCACAACCAAACAAATCGTCAGTTTGTTTCTTTTCACACAAGTCAAGAGAGTTACAAAGTAAACTACTTACTCTGTTAGATACCAAAAATAGTCAGACTTGTCCCAAGTCATGCTTATCTGTTCCACAAGCCCGTTTCTTGCAAACGTATCACGATCATTTGCAGAAGGAGTTGCTTCATTGAATGATTCCCAAGAGAATCTTGTACCAGTTGGAACCATATTCCTGTGTACTCTTGGTGCATTAACCTGTTAAACACATAGGTCAATTCAATCTAGAGAAAGTAAAAAACATTTTTATTTCACAAATAAGATTTATTTATCTACCTTTGCGGTGTTGTAATATTCTGTTTTGCAATCAGGTAAAATACTAACTGACCAAGGAGGCAAATCATATGGGAATCCACGGAACATAACTCTCGCTGCAGAATTCGCATCATTGTTCGATAAAAACGCAGCACATGATGATTTAGACCAGAACACATGAGCCTGAAAAACAACATTAAAATGATCAGTATAGCATAACCACAAATTACAAAAAAAAATGCTTTGATCTTGTACCTCTTGTTTAGCTCCAAGAGATGTGACGGTTGCATCAGCAGAAACCAAAGCTGACTCACTGAGCTTGATGACTTTATGTAATGCTTTTAAGTGACTATATTTTGGTTCTCTTGTTAAGCCTTTTAGAAATTAAACAGAATCAGACTAGAAGATCATTCAGGCTGATTTAGTTGTGTTTTATGGGTTTTGGTTTAGTACCGTATTCATCTAGAGGAGCGTCGTAGTCATAGCTTGAGGCCATGAACTCACCAGCTGTTCTGTCGAAATTCGTCCCTCCATGATACTACATAAGAAGATATATACACAAAGATTGAGCTGAACCGAACCAAAAAACAATGTGCATTCATATATATAACTCTGTTTTGACTCTGTTACCATATAGTAATTGATGTAGGAACCTCCGTTTTGTATGAATCTTGCAACGGAGTATGCAATGTCTTCGACTGGTCTATACGGTACAGCCCCTCCAAACTCTGTATACCTGATATGTAATTCACAGAGTTCAGAAAATTGTTATCTTACAGTCTGCAATTTGTATTTAGTTGAAAAAGGTAATTTTATTTTCTTGGCATATTGATGTTGTGACTTACCAACCGGTCCAATTCTCTGTCCACATCTTCGGCTTATTGTTTGAGTTCGGTTTGAAATTCTCACAGTAATAACCATTGCATGTGTCTATCTATAGTTTGCATTAAAAAAAAATGGAAAATCATTATACATATATATTCTTTTCAGTTCAAAGCCCCAAAATAAAATTAAAAAGTAAGAAAATTTAGTTTCTATATAACAAAAAAGTACTTTAATTGATAAGATATCTATAAATAGAAATAAGGAAAATGAAAGAACATACAATAGGAGAAGGAGCATCCTCTTGCTTGCACATTATCCACGGAACACCTGTTGAGAGTCCTAATGCCATTTGAGCTACCCATTTCGTGTAAGCCTTTCCTGGTGCTCCAATTTCCCATTCCACTGGTCCATACTCATTCTCAATCTGTCCATTTTTTTTTTTCATTTTTACACAATAATTCAGAAAACTTTTAATTTGAGCCCTCCATTTCTAATCATTGGTTAATTATGGTATTTTTATGTAACAGACAACAACAATATATGAAACAAACCTGTGCAAGAATGATGGGTCCTCCTTGGGTTTGAAACAACTTTTCTGCTTTCATCATCCATACAATCTTTTCAGTGAATTTCTTCATTGCAGCCTTTACAATTAAAACATTAATCATCAAATAAGAAGAAATAATGATAGTGTATGGAGAAAGCAGTTGGTTATATCTAAACCTTGAAAGGTTCGTTATCCGTCCTGAAAGCCATACCGGGAACAAATTTGAGCCAAACCGGAAATCCCCTAGAAAACCATTAAAAAGTAGTTTTAAAACTAAGATAACCAATGATTTTTTTTTTTTTTTTGGCAACAAGATAACCAATGAATTATTTATAGAAAAAATAGTAAGTCGATATTACCCAAAGTTCCATTCAGCGCAGACATAAGGGCCTATTCTGAGATTAACATAGAGACCAGCTTGGTGTACCAACTTGATGAACTTAACCAAATCATACCTGTCTCCAAAATAATACTAAACAAAACATAATACAGAAAAATTAGAAGAATGTGACTTGTGGAGGTAAAAAATTAAGTAATAAATGTTTCTTATATTACATTTCCAGGAGAAGGTTCGTGGCCATTCCAAAACACGTAAGTCTCTATAACATCCAAGCCTCCTTCTTTAGCTTTCTGTATAAGACTAGGCCACATCTACACAAAACAGAGCATTCAATGAATCATGCATTTCTAAATTGGGACCTACGATGCTTGTTTAAAAGGCACTGACCATACGTATCCTCGTTAAATCATGCATTTATTTATTAGAATACGAAAATAAGATTATGTAGATAATAAGCATGTGACGTAAAAGCTTGGAGATAAAACCACACAAAACGAAAATAAGCCAATAAATTTCAGAAAACAGAGAGAAGGACGGAAACTTAGATCAGAAGTTAATAACAATCCATTGAAAGGTAAAAAAAAAAAAAAAAACACATTTACGTTCTGCAGAAGAAAGATTGGATTAAAAGGAAATTGATTGAAGTGAAAAAAGATTATTACCTCAGGGGTGCTTCGTGGATAGTGGATGGAACCTGAGAGAAGAATTCTTCTTTGTCCATTGATGATCACAGCTTTACGATCATAAGAGACTGTTGCTTTAACTGAACAAATACATGATGAATAACAAAGAATCGCCAGAAAAATCCAGGCTTTATCTCTGAAGTTCAAACCCATTTCTTTTGATTTCCCAGACATATAAAGAAAATTCTGTTAGGATGGGGGTTTTGGCTGAAAATTGTTTTGAAGTAATATATATAAGGTGAGAGGCAGAGATGGTGATACATATAAGATGATGTATGTATAGATTATGGAGAGTATATTTTCTTTATTTTGTGAAGAGATTAAGCTTGAATAGGGATGATTTTGAGTTTGTCTAATCTCTCAACTTTGTGCGGGGTGGCTTTGAAATGTCACGCAACCTTTTTTATTTTATTTGAGTAATTTTACATTCTCCTTTTTCTTTGTTATTTATTTATTATTAACTCCGTAGCTCACCCATGATATATATAATATTGGGGGTGGGGTCGAAATTTGTAAATCTTCCAAAACTTAGAAAAATCAAATGTTATATGGATTAACAAATAATTGTATTAAAATAATTATTTTTAGTTATTAACAAAGGATATAAAATATGGTTAATTAATATTAATGAGAATTTGCAAATTTAAATTGTAGAGAGAGAATCAAGTGTAATACGTATGTCAAAAGGACAACGAAATTTATTAGAAAAATACCTTTTATATTACATCCAATTTAAATTCTTACTTTTGAAATTAAATAAGCTAGAAATGATGGTACAATAATTAACTTTAAATAATAGAGTTTGGAAAATATTTATATTTAAAAAAAAATTACTCTTAATTGAACAAATAGCCTAATGAATTATATTAACATTGTATTACCGTTGTGATTTAAACCCGGTTGAATACATATATTGTTGACACAAAAAAAAAATCACTACAATCAAAAACATGATGTTCTAATATTTTGTATAAAAAAATTGGTTTGTTGTGCTATAGATTCAATCATTCAATCCTTTTTGGAAGGTATGATTTACACTTTTCATCCTAAATCAACCCTCCAATCCATATAAAAAGTTTGGAAGAGTACAAAATGGTGTTTCTTTTCTTTGTAAACAAAATGAAATTGTGTATGGAGTGGAGATACGTTCTATCTTTTGTTCTACGAGATGTAAGAATGTAGTAATGATAGTTTTTTGCTCACATATTTGCTATTTGGTTTTGTCTTGAGAAAGTAAGTCAAGCCAAGTTGCCGCATTCATGACGACGTTAAAGCTCTACCTTCCACGGCACTTGGCCTACAGAAGTCGAAAGACTTGCGGCTATCTACTAGTTACCATACCTCGCTACCCAATGTATTCTGAAGACTATTTCATAAAAACATGATAAACTGCTGTACTATTTGTATTCAAAAATTGCATTTGATGTTGCCTGGGTTTCTTTTTCTTCAGAAGAATAAAATAAGTATCAAAACTCCAATTTAATATAGAATTTTAGTTCACTTTGGTTTTACTCATAAATTGTTCTTTAGCTTTTTTGCTAAATAATTTATCTTTAGCTTAATCCACAATTTATAAAAACTTATGTTCATTTTTTTTGTTTAGTTTAGTTTGATAAAAAATCATTTTGATGAAATGAAGTTCAGTTGGTGTTTAGTTTTCACATTGGACTAATAGTTGAAGATATTTTAAGCTGAATATAGACAAATACATGAACTTTTATATAAGAATTTATCGACATTTGCTTATTTTTTCTATACAGTAAAATGGGATAAAAGGGGGAAAAAAACACAAAGTGCTAACTGTAGAAGCTATACCTCTAATTCATACAAATAAACTTACTACAAACCCATTTCGTCATTTTCTATTTTTAATATTTTCTGTATCTGACAAAAAAATTTGGAGTTATTGGGAAGATTTAATAAGACAAATGTCATAGTTGTTGGAAAGAAAAACAAATGGTTATAGCTGTTATGAAAATGGTGGCTTGGAAACTAAGGTATAACCTTCTTTTCAACTAAAGTAATTCAAATAATGTAAGGCATGTATCTCAGATTTTTCCATGCAGAAGGCTAAATTAAAATTAATAATCAGAATCAGTTAGCCACGTCTGAATCTATCCTACCCATACGGATATTTGTCTGAATCTAGTAGGCCGGTTTCAGACATGATAAACTAAGGTATAACCTGCTTTGAAGCCTGTCTGATTCCTTCCACATTCATTACTATCCTACCCATACGGATATATGTCTTTCATTCCGCCAAGTAGACTAGTTAGCCACGTCACGCGTATGTTTCGTCCTAAATCCTAAGAACATCATTATTGGTGAATCTCATTTTTGAGTCTTTAAAAAAATATTTATATATATATTATATATGCGTATATAATTGCGGGTTAAGGATTTTACTAAACTCAAATCGAAAATTTTTCAAACTGAAATATTTATATATATATATATATATTATATATGCGTATATAATTTATGTATATACTTATTAACGGCCATGTTATATAAATATTAGGTTTTGAACCATGGATGTTTCATTTATATATACTTATATATATATATATAAAATACTGAATGTTTATATATATATATAAATATTGTATGTTTTATATAAGTGAAATCAACATCAATTGTTCAAAATCTAGTTATTTATTTACAGATAACTACTGTATGTTTTATTAACGGCCTAAAGTGACTAGGTCTGTATTTATTTTCACCGTGAAGAAAAACTGAATATATATACATGTATCCATTACAATTTATGTCATCGATATATTCAGTTCGATGTCTTAATCAACCACCAAATCGTGTCTTTTATAACGAATGAATTTCGATGTTTATCTACAAAACTCAAAGAGTTACAAAATATTAAAAGAAAACGATAGTTACGTAACTAACTCAATCACGAACAATTTAGTTATTTATGTGAATGGACATCTACTCTATTAAAATAGAGTCATTCTTTTTATCTACTGATACAATTTATCATTTAAATTTGGACCTTTACTAGAGTATTACAAATAATAAACCGGCGGTTATTTATGGAATAGAGCTTTGGGCTTATTTTTGTTTTTATTAAAATATAGTCATTCTTTTTATCTACTGATACAAGTTGTCATTTAAATTTGGACCTTTTCTAGAGTGTTACAAATAATACAAGTTATATAGTTGATTGAACCGCATTACTTGAATTAAACCGGCGGTTATTTATGGAATAGAGTTTTGGGCTTATTTTTGTTTTTATGACATTTAATTGTTTGGTTTTTGAGCTTGGTATTAAAGAAAAACTCAAAAAACATTAAATAAATTTTTCACCTTAATGGATCAAAAATCAATTACTATTTTCAGGCCCAAAAATATTTAATATTTTCAAGAAAACAAAATTATCTATTATTAATCACTTATTTAAATCATGTACTTTTAAATATGTTAATATTTTTAGCCCAAAAATATTTAATATTTATAACAAAACAAAATTATCTATTATTAATCACTTATTTAAATCATGTACTTTAAAACATGTTAATATTTTTTATTTTAAATAACAATCACTCTATCTTGATAAATTTTAATGGTAACTTTTAAATAATTTATTGTTTTATTTTTCTTAAATAATTTACAGATTTTAAAAAAATGTAAAGAAAAACCAAAAACCAAATCTAAAAACTAAAATCCAAAACCAAAAGCTGAAACGCAAGTTATTTTTTTGCTTTTTTTTTATTTACAAAATAAACTATTTCAAAATTTTTAGAAAATTATTTTTTCATCTTTTCAGTTCTAAATTACATGTTCGATTAATTGAGATTTGTTTGTTGGTAATATCAGTTCAAACTAACTCAGCGGATCTAAAAATTTAAAATCCAAACCAAAAGCTGAAAATCAAAAATAGAAACTTAAAAACCAAAAACCAAAATTTAAAACAAAATCTAAAAATAAAAACTGAAACTAAAAACTAATGAAAAACAACTATCACCACAAATTTTGGTAAACTAATTTTATACCAAAACATTCTTTAAATTAAGACAAAACCCAATTATATAATTTTTTAATCCGTGCTTTCAAGCGCGGGTCAAAATCTAGTAAAACTTTAAAATTTAGCTCTCATTTTCCAGTATTTATGCTAGACTTATACGTCAATATATCACATTTTATATAGTTATATATTCACTATATTTTTGTGAGAGAAATACTCTCGTAAATTATCATATATATTAATAATATATAGTTTTGATGATAAACTTTAATTTAAAAAAAAAAACTTTAATTGTTTAAAGCGGTGTTAAGTTTGAGTTCGTATCTTGTTCAACTATAAATCATTTTTATAGAACTACCAGTTACTGTTAAGTATCTACTCTATTTACTCTATTAAAATAGAGTCATTCTTTTTATCTACTGATACAAGTTGTCATTTAAATTTGGACCCTTTCTAGAATGTTACAAATAATATAAGTCATATAATTGATTAAACCTTATTACTTAAATTAAACCAACACAATTAATGTAAAGAGACGACCTTAATGTAAACTACCTTCAAAATACGGCAGGTATCTATGTGTATACCAAAAACACATATTTTCTCCTACAAATATGGAATGTTCTAAAAGAATATATATCATCAAAATATGGAATATGGAAATGTACTAATTATACTTAAATTAAACCAGTGGTTATTTATGGAATATAGTCTTGAGCTTACTTTTATTTTTTGAACAAATTATATAATTTGGTTTTTTGGCTTAGTATTAAGAAAAAACTCCAAAAAAATTGAATAAACTTTTCACCTTAAAAGATCAAAAAATCAATGATTATTTTCAGACCCAAAAGGTATTTAATATTTTAACAAAACAAAATTATCTATTATTAATCATTTATTTAAATCATGTACTTTAAAACATGTTAATATATATTTTATTTTAAATAACAATCACTTTGTTTTGATAAATTTCAATGGTAACTTTTAAATAATTTATTGTTTTATTTTTCTTAAATAATTTACTGATTAAAAAAATGTAAAGCAAAACCAAAAACCAAATCTAAAAACTAAAATCCAAAACTAAAACTGAAAACACATGTTATATTTTTTTGCTTTGTTTATTTATAAAATAAACTATTTCAAATTTTTTAAAAAAAACTTGTTATCATCTTTT